AATTGGAAGGTAAGTGCATGGAAAAACTTCTTTTTTTTTTTTTTTAATTTGTTGTGGAAAGTGGAATCAGAAAATTCAGGATGACTATCTGTTCCTGTCTCTACTACAGAACTCCTATGTATCAACCTAATGATTCCAATCAAAATGTTCCTAATTTTCTAATGTCACATATTTCCAGTTACCTAGAACCATATATGTAACATTAAGCACTTCCAAGCTGTAGCTGAGGTTTGCTCTATCTGTATATACATATAGACAGACATGTATAAACATATATACTCAGTAATGGTGTTGGTATTGATATCCAAGCTGGCTCATTTTAAATTAATTCTGATAAACCTACAGTTCTGTACTGTATATGTATGTTTATGTACATATAATGCATGCATATGTGTCTGTATACATACGTGTGTGAGCCGCAGGCTTTTCAGAATTAACTTAAGACAAGCTAGTTTGGATACCAATATCATTCCTGTGGCAAGCACAACTTCCCTATGTTACAAACCAGCTTCTTGATGTCAGGGACACTGCAACTTGCCAAGTAGCTGGTGAGAAATGTTTGTGCCTTAATGTTTTTCCAGCCTTCAAAGTGCTGGTTACTCTGCAAACGCTGCACCCCTCCTCTATGAACTGGGTTTTATGCCCTACTGAGTAGGAAGAATACAATCTTATCAGAAAGCTGATTAATGTGTTAATGTTTAGGACTCCGATGTTACAGTAAGATCCCCATAAAATGACAATGGAGAAATAAGTTTATTCAGTGCACTTGAAGTGAAACAAACAGTAGTTTAGAAAATTCACGGTAACCACTGGTTTATTATACAGAAAACTCCACAAGTACTAAATTTACTATAAAAGCATGCAACAACCAGAGAAGCAGAAAGAAACAAAAGTGAAAAAACCCAGTGTGAACAAGGTTAAGAAGCATTTGTGCAAATGGCTGTATTTCTGGCTTGGAGCCAACTGGGGAGAAAAAGAAATTGCTATACGTATATTCCAAGAAGGTGTAAGAGAAGTTGCAGCAGACTGCTGGAGGCTGAAGTATATCAAGAATGAGATCAGCTATTAGTAGTTTCAGATAATTTAAGCAGAGTCTGCTCACAGGTAGTAGAGTCCACAAAGTTCTAAACGTGGAAGCAATCATCAGTGTTTTTCTGCTACTTGTGACAGTAAGTATAAACCTACTTAATGCTTAACTTACTAAAAGGGAAAAGGACACTTCAGCACACATTTAAGGGTCCTGGCAACTTGACAGCAGCAGGCTTTAACTCCCATAGATGTAGAAGTATCTTTTCACTGTCATTAAAAATGCCCTCTCTGAAAGTACATTACTAGAGTAACTGATTTTGATCAAGTATGATTGTACAAGCTTTATACATGGCATATTCAAATTTCTTTGGTTTTTTTTTTTTTTATTAATCCAAAACTAAGTATACTTTGCCAATAAAATACTATTTTATTTTTTGTCACAGGCACACAATGTCAGTATATACCTATTCATTTGTTTCCATGTAAAGAAATATAGCAACAGGGTTTTGGTCAACCTGCCTATAGCAACAGCTATTGCTCTAAGGCAGTTATTCTGCATTACCTGCAACTCCCTCTATAATTGAGTTGGGCTGCTCAGCAGAACACACACAACTGTGCATAATAACAATGACATGCTTCTGAGGTAGTAACATCTCAACTGCTCTTAAATGATTAATTTTTTGAACATTTCATGTATGTATTGCAAGTAAAAGGGAAAGTGGGTACAAACAGAAGAGAATATACACCATCTAGGATTAGTGTAAGAAAAGATCATCACAGAGGTAGAGCTGTAAACCTGTGAAGCTTACAGCCGGAACAGCATGCCGTGCCCCCAATAGCTCAGGCTTACTTCCCCTTAATAATGGTTAACGGTTTTAACTGAAAGACGTAATCAGTTACACAGGTAACAATCAGAAGGTAAAACTCCCCTTTAACTCCATGTATTGAAGAGATATAACTGCTGCCGTGGAACTTTCATTTTTCCCCATATTCAGGATGTTTTTGACATTAATTTTCATATACACCTTATTTTACATAATTGCTTTATCAACACTTTTTCTATTTATACAAGATTTTTATGTTTATAGCTTACAAGTTGTCTGTCAAAAAAACCTTAAAAAATGTAGAGTGGATTTATCTGTGGTTTTGATATAAAGGGAATTTTACCACCCAAAGTTTTGGTTTTTACCATGGAGCAAAAGGTACAAAAAGCCACCTAACAGCTGGGAAGATGGGCTTAGATTTATCTGGGGGGGCAGATGGATGTTGTCCTTCCCATGAACTCACACCTTTGCTCTCTTGCCAGAGAATGCACTAGCTTTTCCAGTATATTGTACTTCTGCACTGAGAATGAAGAACACGTTAGCACTGTTGCAAGAGACTGAGGGGTGATTAAACAAGAGAGCTAAAGCCTCCTCACGCTGAAATACAGCAAATCTAAAAAATTCTGGAAGGCATTGGTGCTACACTGGAATCAAGGTTTAATTTTAGACTCAAAATATGGTCTATTATATGTATCCTTCCCAAAATCACAGCAATTGCCCTGGGAGTATGAAATAATTATTTATTTTTTTAAATTTATAGGTAGTAATGTGTAATTAGGGATGAATTAAAGGAGTTTGTCACTGGGAACCACATTTCTCAAAGCAGCAGTTTTAGTTAATTGAATCATTATCTTTCTTGCTTCTTCTTGAGCTAAGGGATACAGTGGTTTACTATAAAATTAGTCTGTAAATAACTGTCTTCAATTAGTGATTATTTTGAAAAGAGGAGAGCTTACCTTCTGCAGAAGAGAAAATTAATCTTTTCCCTTATGAGATAATTGCATTTTCAGGCCTCCGTGAGTTATGAAAAGTGATGACTACTTGGAGATGTTAACTCTTTATGAGGTGTAAGATTATAAAGTACAAAGAGAAATCATCAAGAATCTTAAAGGAATTCAAAGTGGACCCTTCTGTAATCTATTTTTCCAAACCTTCACACAGTACTTAGAAAATCTTGAAGATAGAGTGGAAAAGTCAGTAACAGGTTATCATAAAGGCTGTCTGAAAGCCCTCCCTGCACATCTCTGTCCCTGGACTTACTTCTCTGAAGGTTAATCTGAAAGTCATTGCTTGAATTTACAGTAATAAGTTTTGGAATAATTCCCACATTATTTTAATTTACTTTAAATCACTGCCAGATATTTCTGACTCCTATGTTAACATGACTTGTCTGGGAATATACCAAAAATGAGTAACACAGTAATAGGTTACAGTAATACAGTATTTGAGTCCAAACTCTAAGTGCCCACTCTTTCACACTCTAATTTATCATTTTCAATGTGGTCCTTTTCTTTGGAGTCATATAAACCAATGACTAATTCCCACCATCAGCAAATGTCCACTGCAAACTAGCAGTAAGGAAAAAAAAAAGGAAAAAATGCATTCTGCAATGCGCTTATTCATTCTACAAATGGAGCTTTCACTATGCAGCATCAAATGTTCTGTGTTCTATCTTATACAAGTCTTAGAAATGACAGGCTTTGTAACAGCATGCCTCCAGTCTTCTCCAGAAACAGAAAGAACAGTTTTTACACTAAAGCTTATAAATAAAAAAAAATCAGCTTATTTTTACAATTTAAAAAGCTGTTACAATGGGTAATGACCTTCTAAGCATATAAAGAAAATGGAATAGATAGTCACATTAAACCCATGAATGTTACTGACCACAGGTACAGTAAATAGCATGGGTTTAGTGACTTAATAGGAAGCCTGCTGCAGCACTCATAATTTGAAACCCTTGTAATTGAAGATGAAGGGAAGTGAGGAACAGACTATTAGCATCTTAATCCTTCACCTGTATGCAAATTGACTTTTTAACTATACATTTCCTAGTACCGAGACTGAAATGGCTTTAAAGGTCTACATAGAGAGGATTCCTTCATTCCTCAGAAAGAGTACAACCTAACTTAGAGAATGACAAATATACATAAAAATGCAGACTACTTGTTTTAATAATAAAATACTATTCTTAAAGCAGATCTTTAGCCATCTGATCTGATCACCACCCATCATCCTGAGAATATTCTTCTCAAGACCTACAACCTGTCTTTCCGGTTACCTGCCTATTTCATCAGTGTAAGCTCCTCAGCCTCAGCAATTTGGGCTGCTAGCAACCATTTCCATAATGTTTGCAAGAGTTAGACATGTCATAGTTTATGTGTGCAAAAGATATGCTTGAGCACTAGACTAGATCTCAGAAATCTGGATTTTTGTTCTTGCTTCTGTAGGTCACGTAGATGGGTAACCTGCAAGGCTACCACTCTATTCCTTAGTTGCTTCATCTGTAAAATGGGGATAATGATATTCACTAGCTTTTAAAAACCATTTTAAGATATACATGGTTAATTATTAAGCAGTGTGGATTCTCCCATGTGAGTAATACACAGCTGCTAATACACTGACTTATCCACTTTCATATTAGCATCTTTATTTAAACATTCGCTATTCTTACTGTGACATAGCAAAACACTCATTTTGTCAAAGAGCAATTGTAAAGAAGCTTTTATCAAGCACAAGTGTAATTAGAATAGTAGAGAAGTGATGAGATTGCCATCAGCTTTGAGCCCGAGGGACTGTCTTGTATTTTAAGTTCAAGAAACTGAAGTAGCAAAGATAGTTTCCAATTCAAGTCTGCCCTCCACTGGCTTTCGTGAAACACTGCTAATAAATTTTGGATCAATAGTGTCTTTCTGTATTGAAGTGGATGAACTAAATTAATAGAAGCTGATGCAATTTATTAATTGAGACCTGTAGTCAGCACTTCTTTTTTAATTTTGTAATAGTAGGTAAATAATTGGTCAATTTCTTTTAAAAGTCCCATCTAGGCTCCCTCACAGATTCTTGATTTTCAAAAGCCCACCAGTGTATAATTCGTATCACAGTTGCTGGAACTAATAATATACAACATGGGAAGTAACATTCTGCACATGGTTTTAAAGACATTTAATAGAAAAATCTACAGAAAAAATACTTTGCTCTGATACAATTAACGATTCTAATAAATTCTAACTGTTAATGAACAATCAAGATAAATTAATACCTACATTCAGTTTATGTAATTTTTTCAACATTTAGATACACTGAGAAAGATTCAGTTTATACATATACATGACACATTTATTTTGTTGACTCCGTAATCTTATTCAAGATCTGAAAATATATGTAATTTTTACCTTTCCTATTATGCTCTGAACTCTGTAATTTGCATTACAAGTTGTTAAAAACTATTATAATGACAACACTATCTTTGAAGTAAGAATTAAAGCTATGCTTTAAATTCTATTTAAATTAAAGATATACTAAATTAAAATTTAATTTATACTTAAAAAAAAAATAATCTTAGTTTCAACAAACATCCTTCCTGTTTTGGAGGCGCCAAAGGAAAAGGATATTAGGGAGATAGACAATAACTGAAACTATTTTTTTTTTAACAGTGACTTAAGATAAAAAACAGAACAAACTCATATTCTAGCAGAAAATCCACACAGACCTGTTCCACATCCACCTGGCATATTTCAACTCAGAGGTCCTTCTTTTTGCTTTACTACTTCTTTTCTCTTTGCTTATAACCAGGAGATAATTAGTAGCTTGTTGTTGTTGTATGCATTTATCTTGTAAAATCTGAAAGAGTGCATCCAAAAGCGCTATTGTAAATCAGTGAAGCGAATGCTGTGCATCAGTTATGATTTTCAAATATTTCACTGTTAGAAAAAGTTGTTTCAGCAGCATATGTATTTCCTGTAGATGGATGCTAAGAAAGACTATTACAACAAATGCTCGCTGAAGAGAGGAAGCAGAATATGACTTTTAATTACAATTCTTATTTTTCAAATGCTCCAATTATATGTTCTGTATCAAAGATAAATACTTCATTTTCATGTGCAATGCTGTCAACTAATTGCAAAGACTTCTCAGTTTCATGGTTGCCTCACCTTAATACAATATACTAAGGTCAGAATTGGTATAAATAACAAGTATACCGAGAGCAAAGACTGTTTTGGAAATCAGAATAGATTCACTCTTTTCCTCATCTTGTTTCAATCACTGTAAAAATTTGCCTAACCAAGCATCTTTTAAGAAGTCCTTTAAAATCTTTATAGATGTGTGCTGCTGTAACAACAAATTCTTCAGCAACAAAAATCTAGTTGAGGTCTGTTGACAAATAAAAGGTTTACATTCAAATATCTTCAGAGGAAATCCTCCTAGACCTACTGAAACCTTCACTGCTCAGATGCTAAAAAAAAAAAAGCTTAATTTAAAAACAAAGAATGAGTAAACATGGATATTAGTTTTGGCCTCAGAAAATCCTTTAATCCATCAGATTTTTGCGTATCACTGAAAGTATGCAAGGAATCAGATTATTGCTTTCATCCTCGGCCAAGCAGTGCAATCATAAACATGCATTTAAGAACTGTTGTGTTTTTAGAGGTACTACCTATGGTAAAAGGTAGCAGTATCTTTAAATATAATGCTTTATTTTCATTATTAAATGAAAATGAGGGGAATGGGAAAGTCAAGTTCCAAACCACAGTAAAGTTTTGCAGCAGGTAATATTCAATTTCAAGCACAACAGAAATTCTTCTTAGAGGTCTCTAAAAGCATTTGATGAGGCTGTCTCACCCCAGACTGCTGTTTCTCCTTCACTGGCCTTGGGAGCTGTAATGAAAAATCATGAAATTATTACTGTGTTTGCACTCAACCCCATATTACAACTCAGTTTTGTTTTTAACATAAATTATATAGTTATTGTATTGAATATACAAAATTATTACACTTTGCTTTTTGTTCCTACCACTCTGATCATTTTACTAATTTTCTAGATAGGCATCTGACAATACCACTTTTCTTGGAAATATCCCGTATCAGACAGTGACCAGAGTACAGCCAGTGAGTATCACACAGAAATCAATATGAAAGAGATTCTAATCTGGACAGAATTTTTTTATATGCATTACTGCTCTGTATTCCAAGTATGTTTTGAAAATACGCTAAATGCAAAAAATCAAACATATTCACCCCCAAGTAATCTAGGTCTTAACAACATTCAAGAAAGAAACATTTTAGAATTCTGACATTTTCCACATGACATAATCGGACAGCCTTAGTCTTTTCTTACTGTAGTGCTTTTGATTTCTATTTGTCTCTTTGTGAAATGACAAGGAACATTTCCCAGACCAGCAGTACTGCAGAGTAGCTGGGATTTATTAGACTAAATGAATGGGAATACTAAAATGGAATGGAAGAAAAGGACCATCATTACTAGGGCACAATAAAAATAGAAAGTTTAATCGTAACAATAAAGTGAAATAGAATGTCTAGTCATAATATACTACCATTTTTACTGACATCGTAAAGATTCAGCCTGTAACGGAAACCTGTTAAGCACCTCTTGCTTATGTTCTTGTATTATTTATGCTTATTCCCTATAATCCTCAAGTATGAAATATCTACCATAGTATCTTTGAAATGTAAGTTCCTCCTAAACAGAGGCAAACTCGAACTTTGTCCCAAGCAGATGAATTTAATGCAGTTTCTTGACAGTAAATTGAAGGTGAAATCTCAAAAGTGAGAGTGGTAAGTGCATAATGGAGGTCTGCAGGGATTTCCTATGTAGAGTTTACAGTGATTTTTCACAAACTTTAATGTGTCACTTCACTTTGTCTCCTTCTTCAGCCTTCTGAGTTGCATGGCTTTACTTTGTTGTGTGTTGAGATGAAGCTTTAGAGGTCTGGAATTCTTTAACCTGAAATGTACCCTTTGCACCAAAAAACAAAGACAAGCTAAAGCCATCAGACAGAGTGAGTGACGCTTAAGTGATTCAGTCATGTCTATAAGAATCTCAGTTCTGTCCTTTACCCATAAAAACTGAAACATTTGGCCAGTCTACAGGGAGTGTTAGTGGTATTTATTTGCTATGAAAACACATCACTTGTGGAATTACTGCTAATCAAGTTAATAAAACAGTAGGGATTCACATTCTTGTTGTCCCAGTTAAAACTCTGCAATTTTACTTCTGATTTTATTGTTGTTGCTGATCACATGAACTACGAGGCAAAAGAAATTCAAAGAGGTTTTTTGTAACAAAAAAACTTTCAACACATATAGTATTATTAATTTTGTCACTCCAGCAATTGGGGCTCTTGTTTTTCTTATTTAATGGATACACCATTCCAAGTGGTTTTGTCTTCATAATCAGCCATGAGAAAAACCAATAAGTAAACCATAAGTAAAATCAATATCCTTCATGGAAGTGTTACCACAATAAATTATAAACATCAACTAGTACCCACAGCACGCCCACATCATCCTACTTCTGTCTTCTCCAGGCAAAGCTGCCTCCATCAATTTATTAAAGTACTCATTTCTCTCTTCTTCTCCCTTCAAAACAGCTTGTTGTTTCATGCCTAATCATAGGCATTTTTGGTTTTAGGGGCCAATTTTAATATTTCAATTATTTGAATAGTGCTGTCCCACCAGCTTGAACTTGCAGGGAAAATGACTGATGCTCTCTCTTTTACCCTTTGGCCGAGTCAATAGCTCACCAAATGACTGTTGACGTCTTAGACCCTCTAATATCCTAGGTGCAAAAGGTGCCAAATAAAGGCACAGAAAACTTCTGGAGTCCGTGCAAACCTTTACTGTTGGCATGCTTTGTTTTTTTTGTGTTGTTTGGGGTTTTGTTTGTTTGTGTGTTTGTTTTGTTGGGGGGGGTTGTCGGGTTTTGCTTTGGGGTTTTTTTTTTACTGCAAATATGATACTTTGGACAGTATGAGACTATAGATGTGTGTTATGATGGAAGAAGTGCCGTTCTCCAGTCACTTTTCTTGGTTTACAGGTATCCTTTCTCAGCTTCAGTCTGTAACACTATATAAATTTAGACCATTAGATATTAAGAATCAACTTTGGTTTATTTGCCTAAAAAACACATGCACTTGTGCTCTTTTAGGCCACAGCACTGATTTTGTTTGCAAGAGAACTCTGGCAAAGAAATATTAACTTTCTTGCTATTAATTTCCTGGCTTCTATAGTTAAATAAAGGAAATAATAACCTACAAGCTTTTAGTCAAACATTAGAATTAGCAGACATGAGAAATGAGAGCTGTCAAGGAAAGTTTCTGTGCTCTGAAAATTATTCCTTGACTTGATGTGTGAAGGAAATAAGAGAAGCAGCTCGTACACATAGAGTATTCTCAAAAGTGTCCTTTCTCAAGAACATCCACAGTAAGAATATACTGTATCACACATGACACTGTTAAACCAATTTATACTCAAAGGAGACAGCTGTTTAACCATTTGGATCAGTTATTTATTACATTTGACCTTCTGAATCCCACTTACACTAAAATTACAAGAAGTTTAAGGAAAATACCTTTTGAATTTAATTCCAATACAGCAGGTCACGTTTTACTGTAATATTTTGTAAGAGGTTATTAACAAGCTGTGTGCTGTAATAAACAATTGGGTTTGTATGTTTAGGAAGAACAAGCTGTAACAGTAACTACATTGTGGAAACAGATCTGATTTGGTCTCATCTACAAAGGAAAATCAGTTTAATACAAACTGCTGAAAAATAGGTTCCTGCAGCAACCACTTAACTTCCTGTTACCTCAATTTTAAGTTAGAATTCCCAGCTTGAATAGAAGACTATCCCTAAAATAATTTAACAATAGTTATATAGTACTCAGTTGCAGGAGCAGAAATACAGCAATCCACTGATGTACAAGTACCGGGCCAGATATGACAAAGTAGGAATGACCACGTTGGTAAGTACAAGCTCACCTTTAATACTACCCAGAAAAAAGCAACAGACAAACAGCATTTCAGAGGCAGCTCTGTCTTTTATGGATGAATTATTTGTATTACTAGTTGCCTAAGACTGCCACAGAAAAGCCTTCATTAGTATGTTCCATAAATTCTGGATTTGTTGCTGAAAGTATTCCATTAATCTGGAGGTACTATCCTGAAGTAACACCACCTTGGTTACTAAACAAGGAACTGGAAAAAGCCCTACCTGCAAGATGATTATTTTTTAAAGTAAGTGAAATGAAAATATCTAGCCAGTATTTTTCTACCTATCCCTGCAGCAGAAAGAGGAGTAAGCCAAAACTGTTTGCTCGAAAACTTCATCAAGCGAAACTCTTACAAAGTCAATGGACACAACATGTGCTTCCATTATTACATGCCCTTATTTGGAGCACACTTGCCCCTAATGGCTGAGAATGTGTAAAGAAAATATGACATATGATCACATCCTGTGCCGTTTGTCATGAAGGCATATTCTTTTGGGAAAGGGGTAGGCTCACAGTCCAAGCATCATACTGATGTCATCTGCTGATGAACTACAGCACTGGTGCTTAACCTTTCTTTAGAGATAAGCTATTCAGTTTATAAAGAAGCCACTCACAAACTCTAAGCCTCTGCTTTACTAGTTAGATATCATTAAATATGTGTCAGTCACATGACTAAGAATACTGATGCATCCCATCAATGTGTTTAATGCACATGAAAGCACAGTGTATACAGACTGATTTACGTGAGGAAAGGCTATTTGTGTGTTCTGTACCATGACAGCACGTTTGTGCCACCACATCACCAGAATACTCTTTTATCCCCCACATGTTGATTATCGGTAGACTGTGGCAAAAGCAAGCTGTGGGCTGCCAGAATCCCTCACGTGGCTTGCAGTTTGCTACCTGTCCCTAGCTGGAAAGCAAGGGGCAAGCTCTAAGCTCAAATTTTCATCATGTTGGAATGGCAGAGCAGACATCCACACATTGGAAGAAGAAATGAGGTATCTGTGTAAGTGATGTATCATAGCCCTGGATTCTTTTTTGGATCTAAAAGCGCTGACCTGTTGTCATTCTTAATGCGACAAAATGGCTACAGAACTTCAAGCAATTGCCTTAGGCAAACCAATGCATAACATGCAGAACTTTAACTGTGTCTGGTCAGTAAATCATGACTATGAACAAAACTGAGTAGGTTTCTGCACTGTCACAAGGCGTGGTATCTAGGAACTGTTTTCAGAATTTCCATATACAATTAAATTCCCTCCAAACTATGACAGGAGTTTGATACAGTTAGCAGACATGATAGACTGCCAATGTTAAATACTGCAGCCATACAGGAACCTGAAGACCTGGACCTGGCATTACAGCACAGGGCAGAAGACTACCTGAGAAAGAATGGAAACATGGTACAGCTATGACATAACTGGTGGAGTCCACGGCACAGACATCATACAGCAAAATGTCTCATAAGTAGTGGCGTGAAACAGGCAATAGCTTGGTGGTTACAGCACTGCAAGGGGTTCTTGCAGAGACGGCTCACTTATTTGTTAGAAAAGGAAGTGACTCAGTACCTATCCGGGCTCTGACTTTGTAAGGACAACAAGCCCTAAGTGCTGTAGTGGCATTTTTTAGACATTTGGCCTAAAACCAGAACGCCTCTCCCTGTATTTCTTCTGTCAAGCTTTCGCTCCCGGAACTCCGCGCTTCCACGGACTGAACACATGGCACAGCCTGGTATCAAAGATGAAGAGGCACTTCCGATTTCAACCAGAAACATTTCTCTTATCACTCCGTCTCTACCTTTCACTTACCAAAAGGCACTTCCCAGCCTCCAGAGGCGGCGTGCAAAGGGTGCGCATACCTTGAGAGCTCCGGGAAAGAAACACAAACACATAAACGCAGGACCTGCAGGCAGAGGAGGAAGGCCCACGGCTCTTCTAAGCCCCTCACCCTCGAACAAACGCCCCGACGCCGGCGGGCTTGCCCTCGGCCCGTCGCCGCTGCCTCGCCGGGCGCGGAACGAGCCCTTCCTTCCGGGCCTGGGGCCCGCCGCGGCAGCCCGCCGCCGCGCTGCGCCTGCCCGGTGAGCGCCGACGAGCGGAAGGAGCTCGGCGGCCGCCATTTCCTCGTCCTTCTGGCGGAAGGACCGCCCCTCCGCCGCCGCAGCCGA